CCCACGCCCGCTCCTTACCCGGTTTTGACGAATTCTGCGCTTCCACGCATGCGCAGGATGCATACAGCGCCTGTGCGATCCTCCAGGAGCAGCTGGAGCATCACACAGATGCTAGTATGCATGCGTGCGCCGCACACGTGCACGTGGACGCCACACGCGTGCGCGAGGACGCCACCGGCCTCGTTCCAACCGAACCAGTTGGAACGGGGCGAGAAACCCACCCCTGCTTCTAGTCCAACCTCCTGCATAAGCAGGAGACCTTATACCATTCTTGACAAAGGGCTATCCAATCTCTTCTTAAAATCCTCCAGTGATGGAGCACACATAACCTCTGGAGGCAAGCTGTTCCACTGGTTTACTGTTCTCACTGTCAGGAAATTTCTTCTTAGTTCTAGATTGCTTCTCTTGGTTACTTTCTAAAAATTGCTTCTTGTCCTGCCATCTGGTGCTTTGGAGAATAGGTTGACTCCCTCTTCCTTCACGGACAAGGAATCATTCAAAAACAGGACAGTGCCATTCTTCTTGCTTGGTTGGGAAATACAACTCTTGATAGCTGTCCTTGCAACATTAATGACATTTCAATCCATCAACATATCTCAATCATTGGTTAATAGAAAAAAGAATATGCTTTATTGAGCAAGTGTGATTGGACACACAAGGAATTTGTCTCCTTGTGTGTCCAATCACATTTGGCCAATAAAGAAGAATCATCTCCTCTTCTTCCTCCTCCTCCTCCATCATGATTGAGATATGTCGATGTGTTTTTTAGATATGTCGATAATGTTTTCCAGGCTGCTCTGGTTCTTATGCTTTGATATAAGAAACCTAGCAATATAGGATGCTTCTCTACACGGAAAAGCAATATGAAAATGAAATTAGGTTCTCCTGCTATTTCCTCAACTTAAACCCCACATCACCAGTTGCTATGCCAGAGATACCTTTTCCTTATGCTATTACACTCATCCACCAGAAACCTTTCTTCCCCATCCCATCTCACCTTGATGTGGAAACTGGCCAAGGAGATGTTTGGCCGGCCCGTAGAGCAACGGAACTTCAGCTGCTGGTCTGCCAAGGATTCAGAATACCGTTCCTGTCGTGGAGAACGGTTACCAAGGTTCTCACGCTTCTGAAAAGCCATGCAGCTCATGCCCAGATAACTTTCTGGCATGATAAGGTAGGCTTCAAAGGCGATGTTCCTGGAATTCTGCATAAAAAAGCCAGGAGCTTTGTGAAACCAAGCAACTTTTCTAGATCCAGGCCATCATATGTGGGGTCAACAGCCATTCGTTTTTTGTCCTAATCTGAAGTCTCTAGCTCTTTAAAACTTACTGCTATCCAGGTTCCTGGACAGATGGCCTCTCCCATGGCAATTTTGTGGGATGTCTTCCCCATATTTGCTGCCCTGAATATGGGCTTTTCTGATAGAAGCAGCCACATATAGTCCTCTCCCTCTTTAAGATTTATTTATTTTTATTTTATTAATTAGACTTATATACCGCTTCATAGAGCTTTCAGCCCTCTCTAAGCGGTTTACAGATTT